CACTCAGCCATCCAGTGCCTGCCAGGTGTTACCTGTCCAAGTTCAGCCGCCTGCTGCAGAATCTCCGCCTTCCTCTGAACACCTCGATCGGCGTGGTAGGGGTTTCTCTGACTCTGGATCACCAACACCACCTCCTCCAGTCCTGAGAAAAACACTCACACAAAAAGAAGAGGGATGACAAATTAGGAAAAGCACAGAGAGAGGGAGATACACACAGGAATCTGATGATTAAATATTTTTCTGTACTTGCAATAATTAAAGTAAATTTCATGCATGCTTCTTTTAAATGCAACTTGTTTCGGGGAATAGTTTGATAGTTTGGGAAATATAACAATACAACACAATAATTATTTATTTTCTTGCTATGAAAACCTCACAGGGACAAGATTGCACAAAGTCACTTCACCCAGCCAGGAAATAGTTCCACACATGTCCTGTCAAAAAACTGCAACTTGTCTGTCTTTATGTTTTGTTTTTTGTACAGACACAAGACACAAGATACAACATGTTATTTAGTGAGCTTTAAAGGCACTGGTAAGTGGATTTAGCTTCCTTTTCACACAACTGGCTGCTGTAGCTTCCCATTTAGAGTACACACATATTTGGCGGCGATCTCCATGCATAACTTTCGGCAATACAGCAAATAACATATTTCCCCAAATGTTATTCCTTCAACTCAATCTTAAATACAAAATGGTGGCATGGAAAAAAAAGCCTCATTAATATGCACCACAAAACTGATTTGCTTTCCTTTCTGACCATCTGCAATGAAATCCCTGACTCACCAGGAGAGCTGTGTGCAATGTGCTCCTGGTGCTCTGCTGCCTGCGGGGAGTCAGAGTTGATTCTCGTTAAGTCTGACACACGCTGCTGAGCCGCATGATGAAGCATAATCATGACAAGAATCTGAGGGCACTTACATGAGCATGACCTGTGTGTCTGTCTTCAGCAGTGGGACCTTAAAAAAAATTCAACAGTGTTACTATAATATCATCAAAATGCATGCAACTATTCGTTATGATATCAGTAGCTAATTAATCTTTTAGTTGATCAGTCAATCTACAGAAAATTACTTTACAGCATCTTTAATGCGTGTTATTAGTTTAAGCAAACTGGGTTTATCTACACTTGTGACTTAGATGAAGATCAGATAACATTTTATGACCAATCAATGCAGAAAACCAAGTCATTCCAAAGAGTTACTTACTTTTTCTTGCCACTGTATTTAATTTTAAATTTGAGAGTAGGAGTAGACGTGAAGGATTTTTCCTTTTAAAAGTTTGGTATAGAGAGGCCAGGACAACTATCTTAGTCTTTCACCAGTGCATTGTATTTAGTAACCTCATGTGTATTTCCCAGCATAGCTTCACCCAGATTTAACCTGAGCAGAGGTCTAATTGACCAGTGTAAAATGCTGTTTGATTTCAGTGGTTGACTTCTTGTTGGGATTTGTCTGCAAGTGTCATATGCAAAATTAATGCAAAAAGAAGAAGGAAAACTGACCATGGCATTATATGTGAGGTTCAATTTCACTACAAAGTAGGGCAGCATGGACTGTTACTTATTTCATAATCATCTTCACTCTCCCTATGAATGCTTCTGAGTAATTCTGCCTGTGTATACTTTTCCAGGTGGCATATTTCCAAGAAAAAATAAAATAAAATTAACTCTGACATCAGATATTCAATCAATCTGAAGTGCATCAATGTACTTTTATCTGCCTTCTGTTTACAAAATCCCAGGGGATCACCTACTGTGGCCTGCGTTTGTAATCTGTCAAGTTACACAGAACAAAATGACCATTTCCTATAAGAAATTTCAAAATAAAATATTCAAATAATTCATGGCAAGGTTAATATCACCGTGACCCGCTTGAATATCTCATCTGTGTACATTTTACTTTAGAGATATCTACTGATACATTTACAAACGATAATGTACGTTGTGTCTTGTTGTATTATATTAATAACATATTACTTTGAAGACCAAGTCGGAGTAACGTCCGGTCTCTTTCAGCCAGTCTGACGGTTTGTGTATATTACTTGGTGCTAGCGGGTTAGCTAACACCGTAGCTGTGTCGGCTGGTCATTGACCCCACTTACCAAGCCACAGAAGGAGCACAGCGACCAGTTTGCATCCGTTAACCACATTATGGTGTGACATGACTCTCGTGGACGCTGGTTTTCCTTTGAAATCACCGTATTTTCATGGCGACCAGAGGAAAATGGTTAGCTATATTCCTGCACTGGCAGAAGTCTGTGTGCTGGACTGATGGTGACTATCATTGTGGAGCTGTAACGACCTCTAGCGGACATTGACTTACCAGGTTACTACGGCGACCTGCTGTAGATGAGTAAGGTGCGTTCAAGTTCAGTGGGACAGTATTTTACAATTGGTAACCCACATTTCTCCATACTGACTTCACTTTTTCACACAGCTCTCTTTGCTGACATTCAGCAAAGCGCAACAGTGCAACAGTTAACACAACATCAGTCAATGTGAACTTAACTGAGGATAACTTAACAAAATACATTCAATCACGACACCTTTCCAAACATTTCTGGATTAAAACAAAATTTCCAAATAATTGGATTGATGAGGACCTGTTTAAATGAAAAAAGTATCACACTATCACATATACTTGAACTGGACAAAGTGTTTTTGTCTAAAGTGTGATTTCCCAAAAAACTGCCCCACTTTACCTGAAATCACCCAACATCACAATAATATTGTGTCATTCTGACACAGAAAAAATATACAACATCTTCCCGAGCTAAACTCAGACTTCCAGTTCCCAAATCTTTCCCAGATTTTTTAAATAAAAAAAAAATTATATCAAGCTGTTGCTGGTTTGGCACAGCACAGAACAATGCAAATTAAAAACAAATGGGAGTCAAAGCCTGAAGAACATACTGTACTAAGGATGAAACATAAAAAAATAATATGTAAGAAAATCCATGTCAAAACTAATGTAAATACTTGGAAGGAATGCAGATGAAACTTATCATCAGATCCTTTTTTTTAACCCCAAATGTAATGATAAAATAAAACCAAACCTAACAGGAGCCTGCTGGAGGAAATAAGAAAAATCTGCAGAGAGGTGATGATCAACTCGACTGAAGTGTGTCCTCTTTCGTCCACTTTTCCTTTGGACAGCACCCAAAGGAAAGAGTTAAAAGCTCTGATAAAAAAATGAAATGGTCCTTAACTAGATAGCTCAGCATGTTAGAGGACTGTTCTGAAGTTTTGAGGTTCGATTTTTATGATGCTCAGTGAATTCTGAAGTCTAACACTCAAAGTGAAGACACAAAGTCTCTAAAGAATACAGTAAGTGGCTGAACAAACGGCTCAGTGTGTTAGGGGGCTATTTTGGTATTCTGAGGACATGGCTTCAGTCCTCAGCTAACTTAGTCATGGGAGTGTAGGACAGGTATCTTCAACAGATTCATATGAGGGAGAGGTATCCAGACAAGAGGCTGAAAGCATGTTTTCTGTTGTAGGCTGTGCAGACTGGAAACATCCAGAACAAATGAGTCAATAGTCTCCCGACCACAGAGGCTAAACATGGACTTCTTGGCCACACAAATTAAACAGGCTGGATCTGCTGTGAAACCACAGTTGTGAGTGTTCACATTTTTGTACAAATAAAGTGAGCTGTGAAGAAAGAAATCCAGACAAGAAAGCTGTATTCTGTGGCAGCTTGAAGGAATCAGGAAAGTGTATATTTGCAGTGGCACAGTCTGTTATATTTCACTCCAACACAACTGGGCAATGTGTCATGTTATCAAACAGCTATAGGCAGAAAAAACAAAACATGAGCTATAGGTGATTTATGAATCTGTGAAATGTGCTGAGTAAATCTATGCTGTCATATGAGGAAGAAAAGGTCTGAATAAACATTTTGTTTGAATAAAAGCACTGAAGCAAGATCAGAAAAGTTGATATGAAACACAAATACACAGCACATTAATGTTGTCACTGCACCACAAAGGCTCTAAGGTGACTCATAATTCACCGATGTTTCAAATTAGGTTCTGTAATTTTCCTCCTTGGTTGAAGAGTGATGTTATTTCCAAGCACGAGGCCAAGTGCTGCCTACAAGTGGCTTCCCACAAAGTCGCACATTCCACCCTCAAAGGTCTTAAAGTCTGATCCAAATAATTACTTTTTAATTTATGTATATTATTGGCATTATTTACTTATGTATGCATGTATATATGCTATGTAGGGGAGAGCTCTCCAGCATTGACAGGACCCCTGTGATTAGGAGTAATTTGTCAAAGTGCCTTTTGAGGAATTGTGTCATCTGCAATGCAACAAGAAGTAAATACATTTGCCTTCAAAATAAAAGCACAATTATTATTACTTTAGGGCTAAGAACATGAATATGAGACATTACCATTACATGTGTTTACTTTTTATGCTTTACTTTTTATCTGTTACATCTGGATAATGTTACATCTGAAACACCACTTGAATATTATCTTATCTTCATGCACTTTTGTACTTTGTATTGCTCAAACACTGTAGGACAGCACTAACAGTTAATGTTACTATTATTTTCTCAATTAATCAATTAATAGTTTGATCTATGAAAAATGGGTATTACAGTTTCTACAGAGCCTAAGTTGTTGTCTTCACGGTGTCTTGTATTGTCCAAAACCCAGAGTTGTTTTGTTTTTAACAGTTTGAAATTACATAAACTAGGCACTTTTGCTTGATTAATGACTTAAACCAATTTTCTCTTTATCTACAAATTGATTTATTGACTAAATAAATCTTCACAGTTGTTGTTTTCTTTTTTGATCATGTTTTTTCTTCTTAAATAACATTAGCAAAACGTTCCTTATTCATTTTCTGTGGACTGAATAAATGATTAATCGACTGTGATTTCATCTCTACCACAGCTGCATACGGTTTTCCTGAGTAAAGGGATTTATTTTGGCGAAAGGAGACCGGAAGTCCCATGTTGTAAACTCGTCTAACTCGACAGTGGTTGGAGGTTATTAAAGCTGCGGACTGGAGTCAGGCAAAAATAAGATCAACAGCAGCGGCCGCAGCAGCAAGGGATCAAGGAGAAAAATGCGTGACACCGTGACGTCGAAGAAAGTGTCCCACAGCAGGATGAGGGTGACAGAGGTGGAAGAGTTTCTGAGAGAACCTCCGGCAGGTTTCTCCGTGAAGGCTCTCGGCTCCGGTTACCGAGTCCACAGCGACCCGGAGAAGAGCCTGGTGCTCATCGACGACTTCTTCTCCTGCAGAGGGAAAATTGTTTTCGAGAACTCGCTGGGAAGGTGAAGGGGGGGAAGGGAGGGAGGAAAAAAAAGTATTAGACACGGCTCTATACATACACACATGTGTTTATACACACTCACATGAAACTGTCTTATTTGTTTCCCACGACAGGAAAGTTAAAATGCACAATTTATGGGAGTACACCAGCATGAGAAAGAGGCTGCTGTCCAAGAGGAGCTATCTGCTCATGTCTGCCTGCCAGGAAAACTGCTCAGCGAACAACAAGAAGGCAGCCAGGGAGGTCAGAGGTAACATCAGCTGTCTGCTTATGAAGATCTCTGCATGGATTAAAATAAACAACAAACGGTCCTCAAAGGCACCACTAGTGTTTTTTTTGGCATTTTTGAAACCAGTGTGTAGGCTGCAAAGTCGGTCATGCAGTTTGGTGGCATGGGTGACTCATGCTGGCTTTCTGACTTGGGATGCTCACAATGGGTGGGGTGGAGAAATTACAATGGCAGCACAGTACTTACAGCACATGACAACATATGTTTCTGCAAACTCTCCCATGTTCTGTTCCCTGTCCTGTTTTCCTTCATGAATTATCTCCATTTCTGTTTCAGTGCTGAAGCAGTACGTGGTGTCCATCGACGGCAACGATCCTTTAATCAAGTGGCAGATGGAGAAAGGCCTGGACTGGACCATCTCTTCAGTCGCTGGGGAAAGCTACAGGGTGGACGTAAGCAGGATTTTACACTCTTTCTGTTGTATACACCTGCGGAGTTTCTTTGCTGATTTGATAAGATTATTGAAAATGACTTTTCCTTATGTCAGATTGACTTGACTCAAGCACTGGACAGCTGGGCTGCAAAAAACATCCACATCAAAACCGACAAACTAATAAAAGTCAAACCAGTCTGGAGAGATGCCTCCTTCACCCTCAAATACTACTCTGACGCCCTCTTTGATTTCCCACACTGGTTCGGCTTCAGCAAAAGAAACTTTAAGGTAATCGTCTCATATTCTTCTTATTCATAGTAATCTACATTTTCTGCATTTGTCAGTGCGCACAGGTTTGTCTAACCTGCCTTCTCTTCTTGGATCTCTTACCATTAAAGTTGAGCCTGACCTGAGCCAGCAGTGGATGAGGAGGTCGGAAAAGTCAAGTTTACCTGCTCAGTTTTTTGGTGGAAGCTCGGTCTGTTTCCTCAGGAAAAGGCTGAAAAAGGAGTTTCTTGTTCAACAGATGAACAGTTTTAATAGCAACCTGCCAGGTGAAGGACCAGCCTACCTCTTGGGACTGCAGTAACTCACTTATAACGGCAGTTGGGTTCAAATATTTCTTCTGTTCAGTGGATGGAAACTACTGACAGGGACTGACAAGGAAGTTCTGGATTATTCTGCATGAAAATTAGTAGGCAAATTATGTCTAACTTGATTTGTAAACATGTTTTTTTGGTGTAACCACGCATTTACCTCATGAATTACAACTTTTGTATAAAGGTTTAAAGGGGTCAAATCTGTGCTGCTGCAAAATCAAATGATGGCAAGACTTTTGTACCAATGAATCAGCATTTGTTGATGAGAAATTTTTTATTTTTTACCAAACTCAAATACAATAAATGCTCTTTTACAAACACACACACAAAAAGAAGACTGTGTTTTAATTCAACAGTTCTCATCAGATAAAAGTAAAACAAATGCAGGCAAATGTTGTTGCCTTTAGGCGACACACGCTGGACTAAGGGATGAGGAGAAGAGTAGATGCAGCGCTGGTGATGGTCTGTACGTATTCCTTATAGTCGCTGCCATAGAAGCGCAGGAGCAGGTAGTTGAAGATGCCCACGATGCACATCAGGGACAGGAAGGAGATGATGCGTTTCCCAAACAGGTAGCCCGGGGTGCTACAGAGATAAAAAACAAAAACGGTTATACCATATCTCTTCTAACACACACACAGTATAGATTGCTTGTGTTCATTTACCATTGAGAGGTGTGTCCCAAGTATCCAATAAAGTACTTCTGCCTGACTAGAAGGTAGATGATCCCGGCAAAGGCAGCAGGAGCTTCAAACAGACGACAGAAAAGGAAAATAAAGACTGAAACAAACTGCCGGCTAGCATGTGCATGCATGCATTATTGATATAGGAAATTCCTACTTTAGACACTAAAACTGTTTTGGGTTTCATGTTAAGTGTTCTCTAATATGATTTATTTGCCATTTTAATGTACTAAAAGACTAGTGAAGCTCTCAGGCATTGGCCAGTATGTTTACCTGTGCAAGTAGAAAAGTCCCATGTTAAAGGTGATAACAAAAAGTGGATTAAACAAGTGTTTGTGTGACTTAAACGGCTGCTGACAAACTGTAGTGAGTAAAGGGTTAACATCCCTGAAGTTAATGTTATATTTATTAGTATTTTTCTGTCAGTTGTAACAACCCATTCGGAGTATTAAGGGTTAATTATGTGTTCATCTTAAAATAGTCTAAATATGTTTCATTTGCAGATAAACAGAATATAGTGCATTTGAACATGAATTTGTACAATAAACTGTTGTCTCATCATTTCTCCTCTTAACCAGGACATTTGTATGTGGTTGCCCGCCCTGCCATCTGGGACCTGCAACAGCTACAGTTTGGTAAAGGCCCCTTCCTGTTTCAGCAATTACCATTTGCACAGAGAGAGGGCCCTGAGGAAATGGTGAAGAAGTAGTTTGCCGAGTTAAAGTTCCTGCAAAGAGCCCTAATCTCAACGCCATTAAATACCTTTGGCATGAACTGGGATGTAAACTCTGAGCCAGGCCTGACCGACCTACATCAACGTCTGAAATCTCAAATGCTCTTGTCGCTAAATGAGAGAAACTCCCTGCAGCCAGTGGAGGCTGTTATTACAACATGACCATTGGCCACATGCGTAGTGGAGATGTTACTAATTTGACTCTAGGTGCAGGTCTATATTTGCTGCCTCTCAAACACAGGTAAAGAAAGTAATCTGTATATAGAATTTACATCTACTGAACAAAAACTACTATAATATGTGACATTCTGACCTTCCTCACTTTCATTGACTTGGGATGGGTGTGTTTTGTTTACAATACAAAAGTGTGACTATCTCCTTTATGGTAACTGATTAATGATTACCTTGATTGAGACACACACCGGCACACCACATCACTGCCAGGAAAGTGGGGTAGGCATCCATGCAGTTACGACTGGAAGAAACACAAACATGATCTGTAATTAGCACATTTCCAGGAAGTCACCTGCAACGACAAACTGTGGAGCAATCACCAATCTGTTACTGGCAGCAGCGGATGATACGAAGCGCCTTTTCTATAAATGTTGGGAAATGTTTTGAAACTGCAGAGCAGAAGTGGGTTTAAAAAAAAAGAAAGAAGAAAAAAAAGAAGATCTTTTGGCTTTTGTGAGTGTTAAAGGAGCAAAGCTGAAGTGGAAAGCCAGGAAAAACTGAGCCTGCTTTCTGAGTCAGCACGAAGTGGCTGGTGCAATGAATTGCAATAATCAGTACAGTATGTTGCACAGAACCGTGACCCTCAAACCTTTTCCAATCTCGCATGTCAGGAGAGTTATCCAAAACACACCACACTTTACAAGCTGATTGAAGGAATCTGGTAAGTTTTAAACTGTCACCAAACGTTTGCATCACTTTTCTTTTTTTCTTTTTTTTGAAATCGTAACATCATGTAGAGAGGATGTGGTTCAGATATTTCCTTGTAAAAAAAAGGAAGTGCATTGTTGCTGATGGACAAAGACTATGCTGTTATATCAGTTACAACTATTACATTTTAATTTCTAGCTTTAGCCTAGTTGTCAAAGCACATCTAAGTGATGTGCAGCAAAAGTGTTATCATCACCAGTGCTGTAGATCGATTGTTTTCATTATTGATGAATTTTTGACAATTTTTCTGATTGACTGATTGTGTCTTTGTGATGTTCCAAAAGTGATAAATGTCCATTGCATTCTCCAAAAGCCAGAGATGATGTATGTAAAACCAAATCATGTTCAATTTACAATGATATAAAGACAAATCCTACAGATTCATTTTCTGCTGATCAACTGATCAAATAATGGATTAATCAGCACTTATTATCTGTGACTCTCTTGATGAAGAATCTCTGTAATCAGGTAAATCTACTCCCTTATGTGCCAATGGCAAGACACTATTTTGAAATGCCCTCCGGCCATAGGCTGCAAATGTACGAGCAGTTTTCACTGCTTTAACTTGAACGGGACCTACAGATGACGATGACTCACCTTACTGAGAAACTGGAAAAAAAATTAATGTTTCCCCAATGGCTATTGTTGCTTTCCCTGCAAACATTCAAATGAGCTCTACACCACCTTTTCCCACTGCCTGGCAGTGCTCAGGCAAATAAGGCCTGTCTCTCGATGAAAGGAACAATAGGGGAATGTAAAACCAAGTGGAAAGTTTGTAGTAGGAAATAGAAGTTGTTCACCGTGTCACTGGCTGAGTGTCGAAGACAGGGCACTTACTTGGCACAAGACACTCGCTCAAAAGTAGACGCTTGGGACCTTTGACTCTTGCATTCCCTCTCTACCTTCTGGGCAAAGAATACTTAAAACACAGACACAGAAAAAAGCAATAAAATCAACTGAATGTCATAATTTTTTAACATTAACATTGTAATTACTGATTCAAAGTAAAAAACAAACAAACAAAAAACAAACATCTCGGCTGTTAATTGTGACAGAAGCTCCTTCTTTGCGTGTTCTCACCGTTCTGAAGTACGCTGAGGAGGGTGACGATGACCAGGAGGTAGATGTTCTTCACCACTTCATGAGAGTCCATGATCAATGCTGTGGAAGCTGTAGGAGCAGGTGGATGCTGAGGCTGAGGGAGGCAGAGTGTTAATGCATATTTACGGTCAGTCACAGAGTATAAACCTGATCTGTCTCTCTATGGCGTCATTTACTCCTTATCTCACCTCCATCCCATGTCACATACACACTTGTTTGTGGCTTCCCCTTTATGTAAATTATCCTCTGGCTTAAAACAGAGGAGTACAAGCAAGTTGCATGCTACTTCCTCTGTGTGTGTTTATGTTAGACTCACCAGATTGCAAGCACACACATGCATATGCATGTGTCTGCTTCAGTGGTATTGACCATTGCATGTTCTGTTTGAGTAGAATCAGTAACACCACACTATTAAAATATTCTTTTACAAGTAAACGTACAAAGTGTGTAGAGAGCTCATCAAATTTCATGCGATTTGTGAGTAAAAATACAAAAATACATGTAGTAGAGCACAATACTTGCCTCTAAAATGTTATGGAATAATAGTACAAATTTTTATTTGAAAAAAATATCACTCTACTTAAGTACCTAAAAAATTTACTTAGGCACAGAGCGATGAGTGATGCTGTGAAAAATGCTTTGGATGTTTGAATACAGTGAAATATAGCTATTTACAAGCCGTTTGAGTTACTGGGGCACTTGACTGACTTGGCCCACCTACAGTCAAACAGCACCTGCATGTGCTTTAACATGGTAATGCACTTTCATCTCTGCCCCACCCCACCCCACAGTTAGCGTCGCTTTTAACTAACACTAACCAGCTCCGTCATACAGGTTATCGAGACTCGGTGACACCAGGTGAACCCCAAGAGAGCCACACTAGAGTGGATACACGTCACAGGCGTGTTGTTAATAATTTGAGACAGGTATTTTCTTTCTGCGTCGTCATGTCCCATATGGTCTAGCGGTTAGGATTCCTGGTTTTCACCCAGGCGGCCCGGGTTCGACTCCCGGTATGGGAACATCTCCTTTTGGCTGTATGGGGTTAGAAAGTGTGTTAAAACTAGTTCACAAACATGGAACTAAAAATACTACTATTGCTGACAGAAAAACACCGGTACCTTTTGAAGGCAGTGTGTCTAAACGTTGGGTATGATTACAAAAAAGCTTAATGGAAGATTGTTTCTCAGTAGTTGAGCTTTATGCCACAGTCTTAATTTTCTTTTAAATTCATAAAAAAGTGTTGTGTTGAAAAAAAAAAAGAAGAAATTTTAAACTATATTTTGTAATATGGTATTTCTATAACACTGATTATGGTCAGGGAAAAGGAAAAGATTGATTGACTCTATAATTAATGCACATTTAATGTCTGACTGAATTCACCTTAAATAATGCTGAATTTTGGGTCTTGTAGTTTATGCAACTTGCTTTTTCTTTTTAATTTAAGGGTCATGACAAGTAATTTTACTTTTTGCGTTTGAGGTAAAATGAAGCTGTAGTCTCTAGTTGAGCAGAACGTGCAAAACTGTGACTCATAAATAACCATTTATAGTATGTACAGGAACTTTAATACATACAAACTGAAAATATTTTACTCTACGAGGAAGCTGGTTGAGGTAAGTATCAACTTGGTAAAAAAAAAAAACACACTTTTTCTTAAAGTTGAATTTCAAAACAATAATTTTCACAATTTGCAAATATAAGAGTCACCTGAAGTATTTATTAAATGACACTAAAAAAAAGAAAAGAAATATCTTTCATGATAATCTTCAAGTAATTTGTCAAAAGGGCAAAACAGAGCAAACAAACAGCTGTGAAATGCAACCCACATATGTACAGTATATATAAACTACAAAGTGCCAAACCTGCAGAAAACATTTACAGATGCAATTTACAAATTTCATCCAAGGTTGAACATACCATCGCCAACATTGTTGACAGACATACAACTTCATTAAGTTAACTAAATTAATAGGAACATAAATAAGAAAAGATTTCACTACTTTCATTGCAACTACATTTTCATGTGGCGACAAACTGACATGTCTGACTGATCGATAGGGATGGGCTTCAATAGCATTTTGTTGAATCTGAATCCAGTTCCGAATCTGTTATTGAATCTTTTTTGGTAGTTAGTTTGACAGAGAATGAAAATGTGTTTGTTAAAAAAAATGCAGTTTTTATTTCACTCAGTGCCAATTTCAACTGTTTTGTGAAAGAAAAGATATGATTTGATATTTAAGAATCTGGCTTCTGATCACTTAAATAACAAAATACACCGACATTAACTTAAACTACGGTTATTAACTATTAAACCTAAAATGCTCGTACTACGGTTCACCACATATTTTGTTACTCCTTTGTGTAATTTCATTGACCCTGTCCCGACTCCCTTTGCTCGTCATGGGGGGCTGTGCTGCAGAAGCACGAGCCATAGAAGCTAAAGTAAAAATCACACAGTGAAAATAATACAAATTCTACTTAATCGTTCAATGAATATTGATTAAATCAATTGGTGATGTTTTCCATGCACAGCGGATCTAATGTTATCTGAAGAATAGATTGCTACAGGTCACAGAATATGCTGCAACACTGGTGGGCCGAGCACTAGTTCTTCTCCAGTTATCAAAAATACAACAAAATCTTAGTTTAAAATGTTGGTTGGTGGACATTTAAATTGTGAGTACCATCCTACAAATATTAAATTTTGCAGTCATTTTGTTGACTTTGAAAAGCCAGTCCTCCGTGTGTGCTCTTAACAGGATCACTGGCTTGTCACACATTTGCCGTTTTATAGATGTCTACATCTTTTTCCTTAAGGATAACCTGTAGCGTCAGAGAGAGGCTAAAAGGAACTAACTAAAATAAACAAATTGAACAGAACAAGAATGAAGGATTCTTGATGAAGGAATAAGGGATCTTTGTATTTTACCAGATTGGAACCAGATCCTAAATGGAACCTGCTATAAGAACCCATCCCTACTGACGGATGAGGTTTGTTGGATTGTTAAACAAGTAAAATTTTGCACCATTTTCTCACGACAGTTAAGTTAATGTTGTCTGTGCTTGTAGCCTGCAGACAACACCCATCCCCCACAGCTCAGATGAAAAATTCAAGCGCACTGAGTGCCTCGCTCTCCATCTCCGTCGGTCTCTGAGCTGCGGCCTGCGTCAGAAACTCATCCAGGAAGTTTTCAGTGTGGCTCCCAATCATGCAAGCGTTCGTCTGTGACACCGCACCGACAGCGTTGACCCCAGAGTCCAACTGCTCGACTCCATCTTGTCCGCTGGTGAGCATCTCTAGGAAGCCGGTGCTGTCAGGCGATAGGTTGCTGGCTGTCGTTGCCGGTGAGAGCAGGTCTGAGAGGAAGTCGTCGCACGTGGCGCCGCCATAGGTGCTGGAGGTAACCGTGTTGGGAGAATTCAGGTCAGTGCTGTCCGGTCGGAGGCTGGCTCCCCCCTGATGACCCAACATTTCATTCAATTTGGCAAGCTTCTTCTTCTTTGCTTTCAGTTTCTTTATCAGCTTGTACCTGAGGGTTTCAGTGTCGCTGAGACCAGGAGGAACCTTTGACTGGCTGCTCTGTTTCTTGGAGGAGGAGATCTCAGGGAGCACCTTTGCTTTAGGCGTAGGGAGTAATGTAGCAGACACCACTGGTGTGTTTTTTAGTGGTTTCTGGTGGTGAGGGGTGATGGGTTGAGACAGATTTGATTTGCCAGTGAGCGGTGCAGGGGAAGGGAGTGGACTCCGTGTGTTGGAGCTCTTGGCGCTGAATCCACCGTACATTTCTGCTGCTTTCATCGGGAGACCCGCACTCTCCTCTGTCCTGAGCTGTGGTTTGGGGAAGAGTGCCCCAGGAGTCTGCTGTTTTCTCACAGGGTTGGGGGCAGAGTGAGTGGAAGGAGTGGGCTTTACCTTTGTGACCGAGGTGGGTGTGGGGGTGGGAGCGAGTTTTGCAACGGACTTGTGAACATGGTTTAGTGGGTGTTTGCTGAGCAGGAAGGACCAGCGGGCGTTCTGATCTAGTGTCGGGGGACTTTTTTGGGGTGAGGTATCAGCAGAAGACAGGTGGGACGTTTCCGGGGTAATTTCAACAGGTGGTGCATTTTCCTGAGCGGCAGCAACCACGGGTTTGTTACCGATTTCTTCAGAGGGCTCAGAAGACGCAGGTGGTGAAATATGTGGAGCTGCTTTTGAAGAGGCTGCTTTTTTACCTTTTTGTCTACCGACGGTTTTGCCTCTGCCAGTTCCTCTCCCTCTCCCTCGTCCTCTCCTGGAACCGGGCACGTACGTTGGATCAGCAGATGAGCCATCTCCAGATTCAGACGAGCTGGAGGTGGTGGGAAGCTCAACATCAGGGTTGCGCGCCACTTCACTGCCTATTACGGCGGAGGAGCTATCTGGTGTCGCATCAGGTATTTGATTCTCGCTGGGAACACTCAAATCCTGAGTTTGTTTGTTGTCATTTACAGGCAGCATTTCTGAATCGGGTTTTAATTCCACCAGTGTGAGTGTGACAATGTCATTGTGGCTGAGGCCCTCGAAGGTGTCGAGCAGCGTTGTGGAACCTATGGATGTGTCAAAGCCGGCTGTGAGGGTTGTGTCCGTGACGTTGTCGCCATCTTCAGATACTGAGAGTGCACAGACGATGTCGGTGTCATTGTGAGACGTGAGAAGAGACTGATCCGGAGAGTGAGCCAACAGTTTATCTGCTGCTGAGCCTTTGTCACATCGACTCGGGTTCATCTCGTTTTTAGACGAGGCAGAGTCGGAAAATGTGCTGGTGGGAGAACAGGCACGAGGCTCTTCATCCTCCTCCATTTCCCAGAAGACCACGTGTAGCTCCTGAGCAGGGACCGGGAGTTTCTGATGGGTCTTACAGTCTGGATGTTTCACGTCGTCGTACTCCAGCCATGATCCTGTGAGGAACAGGTACACAGTCACAACAAAAAACAGCACGTGTAGCATACATGTGTAAATAAAGCTACTTTTTGGTCAAATAAAGCAAGACATTGTTTCACCAGAGACCAATAATCTCTTTCACAGGAGAATCTGGGCCAAGAAGCAGCAGAAGCACATACAAATGCAGATTAATCATATAGATACAATGTAGGAAAAATAATTAAATGTACTGTGAAAATCTTAGGTGAATAAATAAATTCTGTATTAATGAAAGCAAAACACTCCCTTCATGGCTGGAGCCTCCCAAAGTTTAACATTACATAAATTGTCCAGCAGAATGTGCTGTTGGCAAACTACAATGTAGAGGAATAAAAATATGAACCTTCATGTGACTTAACTATGAGCTTATGTTTGTGGTTTCATACCAAGTGCAAATGTAGCTTAAAGACTGTTAAAGTTCTGTGTCATTTGACTTCAGTTATCCATGGAGAAAGCCTGTGATTAAATTACATCCTCTGAGGACTAAATATGGCAAAGTAATTCATTAAACATATTTAAAATTGCTCTGCTGTGTGCAAACCGAACTCCCGCTGAAGGCTCATTAACTGACCTAGTTTACCAAAGCCATTGGTAAAGATATTGTTTACATGTTGGTTAAAAAAAAGAAGTAAAAATAAAATCTCAACAGAATCTGTCTCAAAATACCTACCGTCAGATTCACACAGCCAGGTGACAAAGTGCTTCAGCTGATGGTTGTACTGTATCACTGTGGTGACCGAGTATCGTTTCCCTTTGAAGTTGAAGGTGTACAGTCTGACATCATTGTCACGAAGCCCTTCAACAAAGTGCAGCGCAAATACTGGAGGCACACTGAACAAAACACAAGGTAAAAGTCTGGTTAAATGGATGAATGAGTGAAGGCCTAGCTACTCTAACATAAAACACTGTTTCTACAAAGCTACAGCACCTTTTTTGTTTTTCCTCAGCTAATGCACACGTAATACGTTATTAATAGAATATGCAATTTACTGTAAGATAAATGCATTTAACATTCATTTGTGAGCATTGACCTATAATGATGAAACTGTAATTTTTTTCCCTGACAATTTAAGTGTCAAGTATGATTCATTAATAATTTCAGTAATTTCATTCACCCTGGCAGATGATCGAAGTTAATTAGTTAATGTGTGGCGCAGCTATGGAGGCACACAGAAGTTCTTTGTTATGCTGCTAACCTGTAGATTTCTGTTGAACTTGGAAATAAAAGTTTTTTATATTATTCAAGTAGTATAACTGATTGTGGTGTAGCTAATCTGGAGACAATGGATGCACACACATAAGCTGTGTTACTGCTATACAGTCGTTAATTATTCAGTGGCTAATACTGTATGTTCAAATGACACCCTTTGTAAACATAGTAATGACTAACAGCATTTCATCAACATGCGCTTCAACAGCCACAGTGTCATCATCTCTGAACAGTACAGTCATATGCAGAAGTTTGGGTAAATCACACATTTTGTTGATATGGCGTAAAAACAAAGTAAATCCAACTCCTACAGCAAACACATGTTTAGGTAATTATCTTTTCTGCAAACGTTAATGCTCTGTTCCTTTTCATTTCACGAACTTAAAAAATAGGACTGAATTAAACAGTATTTGTGGCATATGCAAAAGTCTGGTCACCCTACTATATCAGTACTTAGTAACCCCTCCTTTGGCAGATATCACATTTTACAAACACTCTCTGTAGCCAGCTAAGAGTCTTTCTATTGTTCTATTGTTATTCTATTGTTAGGAAGTTTCACCCACTCTTCCTGCAGATCACTTCAGCTTCTCAGATATTTTTAGGCTGTTTTGCACACACACAGCATGTTCAGGATCTACCCATAGATTGTTTAATCATGTTCAGGTCAGGAGGGCTGCAGTGAGAGCCTTCAAGCTTCAGCTTGTGTTCCTTGAAGAAGTCTACGGTGGATTTTGAGGTTTGCTTTGGTTCACTGTCCTGCTGTAGAAGCCAGATTCTTTCCAGTTTCACTTTTTTGACTGACTGCAGGATATTTGCATGCAGAATTAGCTGATATTTATTTGAATCCATTCTTCCACATCCTGTATCTGTGCAATGTTTCCCTATGCCACTGGCTGCCACACAACCCCAAAGAAGAATATTCCCAGCACTGCGCTCAACAGTTGGCAAAATAGGGGTTACTAAGTACTGACTTAGTGGGGTAGCCAAGCTCTTGCACTGTTTATTTTTTCTGCTTTTTACGTTCATGACATGAAAAGAGTGCATTAACATTTAAAGAAAGACTAATTTTTTATGTCTGTTTGCTGCAGAGGTTGCAATTACTTCTTTCCACTTCAAAAATAAGTAAATACATGTGTAATTTTCCCATAGGTGCCCAAAAGTTATAATAAAATTGTAGGTGTAATTATTTGGTAAATGCTGGTCTGATTTGGAGGAAATTCAAACTAAAATCAAACCATTAAAATACAGTGGTCTTAATTTTCAATACCAGTTTGCTAGATACACATATGGGTAGATACAATGCTCAGACATGAAGTAAATGCATCTTCATCAATAATCAAATTGTGAACTCCACATCATCATCAGATCTCTTTTAATAAAAGAATAATTCCTGACTAAAGATAGACACATTAAAAGCTTAATTCTCACCTCTCCAGCATCATGGTCCTCCTCTGGTTCTTTTTGCAGCATACATTACACGGGGCAGAATGAACTGCATGAAGCGGATGCCAATCGGGCATGATATTTGTGAAGGTGGGAAGAGTTTTCATAATCCTGAAAAGTACAGCATGAATTACATTCATGATTAACACAGCTCTGACCGTTTTGCAAAAGAAGAAGAAAAAACATATGTAGAGAATAATCAATTTTCCTTATAATGTGGTCATCGCCTACCTTTCTTTGGAAGCAGCTTTGCATTCACTGCACTTGAACTCCCAGTGAAATGTCGACTGGAAGAGAGGCTCCGCCCAAGAGTCCATCTTGAGCAGAAGCGGCATGGCAAATACTGGTGTTTCCCTCTGGCCTGAAAAGCACATGCAGCAGTTAGAGCATCGTCGCTGGTACAAGTTCTGACAGTTTAACTCGCCATTGTCAGATCATTTTAAAGAATCTAAATTTGCAGATGAGATATGGGTTTGTTTTTTTTTTGTTTTTTGTTTTTTTAAGAGATCGCATGCGTCTGCAAACCTGAAAGTGAAAAGTTCGACTCTTTGGCTTTATTTAAACGAATCGCTTGCTGTGTCAGTATCCCTGCCCATCCCCTTTGTGCTTTCAGAATGACAAGTTGACAACAACTAAGCAAGTTCTCCCTCATTCATATAATATAAAGATTTGGTTGCAGAAAGCTGAGCAAAATCCAAGATTTGCAGGTCCAGACTTGACACTTTTTGGTATTATCAGATGAGAATGCTTACTTTGAAACATGAAGATTAACTTTTGGATACTAAACAGGGGTTCGTGACTCAGTAAAGCCATGTGTTTTGCAAGTGAGATGCCAAATACATAAAGCGTGATACATATCAAGGTAGGAAAAAGAAACGCAGTTAAGGTAACCAAGTGATTTAGCTGTTTGACGTTCTTACATGGAGCCTTTCACATTGTGTATAAGCGATGTGATTACATTTTACAGAGGCGACTTGCCAAAACAAGACAGACTACTCCTTTATATGTGTGATTCTGTCACCCTAATCTCTTTGCCAAAAAAAAAAAAAAAGTGGCATTAGGGTATATGAAATCTAATATTCATGAAGAGAAGGCTTGAGGGGCCTTGGGAGCATTGTGTTGTTAAGTTTGAAAAGCATTCACTCAGACATCTCTCCCTTGCTCAGAGTAGCTTGGCACAATTTGCATGTTGCTGCTGATGTAACACTAGTTTCTTATCAGTGCAAGTGACTTCAGAAACACATATTAACACATATTTTGTTTCTTTACATTTACATTAACCTCTTTATATCTCCTCTTTTCTCCAGCTGTGTGGGACAGTCTGTTCTTGCTTCTCCCAGCTCAAAAGGAAAAGTACATAGTCATGAGATTGACTGAAAAAAATGAACTTCAGTGGACCAATGTCTGATTTCAATATTTCCTTTTTGTTGTTTAGACGGCAATTCTAATTCAGTGTACTCTAATGTAGGAACAACTAGCAACTGTGACATTAGGGCTCTTCTACTTTGCACACTCTCCATACCAAGCTGAGAGATAGACGGGCGGGAAAACGACGAAGTAACGCTCAACAATTCAACACAAATTTCTCCTCTTGCCTGTCTCGTCTCGTTTAATAAAAATGTGTCTTGAACAGAACAAGTGCACACTGCAAATAAACCTCAGGTATGACACATATCCACTCGGGATGCATTTCTAAATTGATTTAGAATTCATTACTGAGCAGTCGTATCATCTCCTGATACCAACACTCAGATATGGTCACAACACTTCTTGGCTGACACTTGCCTGAATTGTTAATAACATTGAAAACCTACATCTATAATTTAAAAAGGTGTTGAACCGCCTTGGTACAGTTAGTCAATGGGAACACAAAGTAACTAAGAATGTCCAAAATCTTTTATTTCTCATACTGAATTGATTTTACTTTAGGTGCTGCAGGAAATGTCTTCAGTGAGTTATCTTACCCAGTTTGCAATGCAGCTTGGGTTGCAGTAGTTTGAAGGCAGACATCCTGAGAGTCTGTAGGTCTGCATTGGCCTTTTGCAGCACATGGTTTGGCACCATCACCACACCATCTAGACAGAAACAACTTTATATGAGTAATCTAAACTTAAAAGCTTTGCAATTCATTAGAAAAACAAACAAAATCTACACCTATAAATTAATTTAAAATCTTTTTTAGACAATAGGATCGGCACATGTTCATTGGTACGATATTTACAGTCAGATTGACATAGAATATTTGTGCTATTCTTTATTTCATTCAAACATGTTGCACTTAAAAAGGGTCAGTTCACCATGATCCAAAAAAGCAAACAAACAAAAAATGACCCTCTCTGCTATCAAGCAGACATTTAGTTTTATGTGCCCAGGTTTTGATGTATGCACCTCTAAAACATCTGCCACCATCACAATACAATAGAGGTAAGTAATGTTGATGTTGTGTTTTTCAAATGTTATTTTAATGTTTTTAACAGCACAAAAAAAAAGCTCAATTCACCTCCATTGTATTGAGGTGGCAGAAGAAATTCCACAAATGGTATCTTAAACCCTTGGTGACTCAAACCAAAACAACAAGGCCAGACACCACTGAGGTACAGAAAGTGAGAAAATACAGGTGACTGAGTCAAATTAGTAGATTACGTTATGTTCTGTGCGGTTTTTAAAAACCAGAACAATGTAACCAAAGAGGAAATGAATAATCAACTTTCTGTTGATTGTAGATGCAAGACCACAAAATTAAAATACTATTGACAAAAAAAGTAGATTCTTTTAACTTACCTCTACCAGTCTGTTGATGGACTTGAATGGCAGCACAAATGTCTTCATATCTTCTCATCAGCTGCCAGAAAGATGACCGCTGAGGCTCCTCTCTGGGTTTACACCTTATTAAGCTCTTACAGTTTACCAAAGCAGCAAGCAGTGCGTCCAGCCAACACAGGTTATCGCTGTTCTTCCAGAAAAGCTGACTCGGAACAGATACAAATTCCTCTGACTCCGTTAAGGAAGAGGTAGAAGACAAATCTTCAGTTTCTGTCTTTATGTCTGTAGTCAGTGATTTCTGTTCCGTCCTTGCTGTCTGCTCCTTGAGCTGACTCAATGGAGTATTGATTTCAGTTGAATAAATGTCCTCATTAGGGAAGCCAGACTGATTGGAGGCCAGACTGCGCTGTCTGTTCAGCACCTCAGGATGACTCTTCACCTGACTGGAGTCATCCTCCAATATGCCGAGAGCTCCGCGGTGTGGAGAGCGCGCAAGCTCATCCCCATCAGTAGTCAGCAAGGCTTCTGATGAGTTCTGCAGGTGTCCAGCTGAGGACGAGCATGTAGGAGGAGCAAAACCTTCTGTACAAACAGCATTGTCTGGTTCTTTCTCCAGAACGACATTGTCATCTTGTAGTGATTCCCATCCATTTGTCTCTGCAGCTGGACAATCAAAATCCCTGTGGTATCCATTTACCTTTACTGCATCTGTCTTGGGTGCTGCATGCTGGCCATTACTGATGGTGTTTACAGCACAGTGCTCACCCTGGCTGATAAGTGTGTCATTATCACTTTGTGTATCAAGGCTGCCAAGTTCACTTGATCGCAGACGTTTGGGTGAGCGTTCAATCAACTCTTCCTTTTCCAGCGGCAGGGGATTTTTTCTTTTGTTCCCAGCTGCAGGCTCCACAGGAACCAAGCTAGCTAAAACATCCTCCAAGGGCCGGCTGACCAGAGGGAAAAGGCACTGCATGGGAATGGAGATGGAAAGGTTAACATGGCAGTGAGCAAAAAAGTGTGTTCAGCTGAGTGAGAGTGTGTGTGTGTGTGTGTGTGTGTGTGTGTGTGTGTGTGTAACAGCAGTGTTGGGACTTGCCTGTGGATTTGTGCAGAGGGTGATTGTCTCCTGGAGGTTGATATGGTAAGAGCGCAGAGAATAGCTTAAGCCCTTCAAAGTGCACCAGGGACAATGCTCCAATGAAGCAGCTCTTTCCTGAACCTTTTAAAAAAATAAAAATAAAAAAAAATGAAGTGACATGAACATGGCATTAGTTAACTCTGACCTCCACAAACCCAAGATATCAAACAGTTTAAAAGAACATACAAGGCTGGCTGGCTTTCATCTCCCAGCAACATTCTTAGTTTTATTCTTCACAACATTCCTCCAACATTCAAATACTTGTTTGAACACATGCATTAGTAATTCGTAAGGTTTTACTTAATTTACCTTGCAGAAGTGGTGCATAAAAGTAAATGTAAGAACTGGTCAAAGTAACTGTCAGGTAAAATTTATGTTTTAATGTTTGTTTTTTAACTGTCCTCAGATTTCTGCTCTTCTGGATCAGAGACAGTGGCATATGTGAATTGGAGTATCAGTAGATGTCAAGTAAATATAAAAATGCATGAAACAAAAAGAAAGCAGTAATAGTAAAACATTCTTTTCTTTCAAATAAACACTCATTTAAAAACTAATTTTTCAACATTTTCATTCAACATTTCTCATACAACAATATATAATACATATAACAATATCAGACTCTCTACATCATTATTCTACCCAAATACTTTCGCCTTTTACTACCAAAGATTTCCATTTGTGTTTCTTTTGTTTAATTTGGATTGGTACTGCCCCGTCACAGTGTTTCTCAAATATAATTCAGCTTTGCGCAAGTGACAATAGTTGAGAGGAAAGCATGAGCTCTACTGACTTTTCCCAAATACCCCACCAGTGGTGAGGCCAAAGCCTCCAAACCAGTGTCTTCACCAGTCATTGGCAAACCACTGTTGCTCTTCTGGTCCACAGCTGTCCGGTGCCATTCAAAACATATCACCATGTCACTTCAAACTGCCAAACTTCCCAAGGAGCTGAGGAAAAATACAGCAACACGTGGGGTCTGTTACTCAAAGCCTACAATGAGCTACAAGCTCTATGGCAATTTTGCATTTACAGAATGTTTGCAACAATTGAGGTAAGTACCTTGATTTGTCAGGTATTCAAATCACTGTATCAGCCATGTGCCATTCACACCTGTTTTTTGTGTTTTTTGTTTTTTTAAATAAAGGGTTTCTTGTTTGAATATCAAGACAATTTACTCTTCGTTTGGTAACTCTAATTTAGCTAAATATGAAAACAGCACTCAAAAAAGTCCCTAATACATAACAAAATCCTGTTAGGATTAGCGTAATACAGTTTTTTTGTGAGACACCATCGGTTAAGGGCAGCATGTAAACATTGAGTAGGGCAAATACACTAAACGCTAACTACATCTGGGGGCAAAATTATGTAATAAAATAATAACTTCTATTTCCCACGATCCAGTCAGTAAATTAACGCTATAATAGTTTATTTTAGATCCAATAATATCCACTAACAATCCTTCATCCACTTAACTGTTAGTCCATGCACCTAGCGGCTAGCACGCTAACACAATAGCCTAAGCCGGAGGTTACTTTCAGTAACTGCCTACTTGTTTTCCCGTTTAAGTGAATAAAAAGTATACGTACCGAAAACAAAGTTATATTTTCAGTGACAATACGGTGCTGGTTGGTGAAATCCATCCACACAGAGCTACATTTATTTCTCCCCGCCTGCGGAGTGAGTCCATGTGCATCGTTTTGTCAGTTCGTGTCACAAACGTTCGTCTTCCGCTCGACGCCGGTTGTGCAGCGGCCTTTGTCTTCCCTCATCTTTACGGGCAATGGTTCCGCGGAGCCCCAATTGGTTTCTCAAGTGAATTGCAGACGCCTAAGCTCAAGTTATTGTTCACGTTAGCGCTGTAGGGTCGGTTTTTATGGCACTGCCCGTGCAGTGCTAATCGTTGCGAGTGCATACACTTGTTAAAAGCATTTATACGCGGTATTAATTATTACTACTTAATAGTGGTAGGCCTGAGTAATTGTTTCTTGTATTCAAAGGCATAATTTTTATTTTAATAAAATTAAGATTAAATAAAAATTTTAATATTTTTTTAGAACATAAACTTTGCGTGCCATATTATTGAAAGTGTATATATACACACTTTAAAGTATTCTAAAATATAACAGGTTCAGCTACAAATCTAATTTTCAATATTAATTAATTTTCAACTTTATTATTATTATTTTTCATAGTAGTAATGGTATGTTTATTAGATTAACTTTTCATTAGATCATTTACAACACTTTGATAATGGCATTGCCCATCCCAAGTTACAATACCCCATAGTGGCTTTAAACTAAACCGGAGGTTTAAATCAGAGACCACAGACCTGACATTAAAAATTGAAATTTATCCAACAAATTTTCTCTAGGCCTACTTCTATTTTTCCATTTGGAAGTCCTATGTATAAATCTCCCTTCATCCAATCTGTTATAAAGCTGACTGTACTTGTCTATGTATTATTTATTTATTTGTTTTTGTAGAACTACTGTATGTGGCTTTTGGGATAAGTAGAGGGGTGGAGTTGGTTGGAAGGGATGGGGTGGGGGTTACATATGTCCCTCACTCTGCTTCTATAATACAGCCCAGCTCTGACACCTCCTGCTCTTGTATCCCCCAACCCGCACACATACACATTCACAAACATGCACATACACATTATCTCCCTCCACCCAATCCCGCCTCTTGCATGTGCCCTCCTCCCTTAAGCCCCTCCTGTATCTGCTGCTTTCCTGTCCTCTATTTTCCTCTTGATGACAAAATGAATTTGCATATTTTTCCCAGGGAGCGCTCATTAGAATGCATAAACCGGCCGCCTCCAAGCCTCATGAGCAGGCTATAGCTTTCTGCCGTGGCATCTCCTGGTGCAAAATGAGACACAGACAGGCAGCATCACAGGCAGACATGTGGCCTGAGTCTGGCTTGTGATTGGCATTTGGAATCAGTTCACCCTTCCCATTCTTAATTCAAGGATAAGAATAAACTATGTGTCAGCCATTTTCCTTTGTTTCTTTATAAGCTGTTAAGCAGAAGCATATTAATTAGATAACCATTTCTTAGTAAATGTATATAGAAATAATTAACCATTTCTAAAGCACATATGATTACAAGATTATCTTCAGAGGGTATATGGCTACATTTTGTAAATCATAATGAACATTTTCTTCATTTTACCAGACCACCCCTCACCACCTAATTTAAACACACAGCCCAGCCTTTAACAACAGATAATTACATTACCTACACTTTGGGCAAAATAAGCAAGTCATCTTGAGAAAGGCCCCTTTCACATCCTGAAATGATTGTCCTGAAATTTTAGTAGGCATGCATACTTAAAGGATGTTCATTTCTCCTTTGTTTATATCTGAAAGTTTTGCCTAATGGTGGCGCTACAGCTCAGGTCACTGGGTCAAAAAAATCCAAATTTTACCCACTGGAGATATGAATCTAAACAGAAACATGCTTATGAGCATTCTTTCTACAAAAACAACATTAATAATATTAATAATAATAATAATAATAATAAATAGCTGTAACCCTTCATTATACTCCATTTTACTAGTATAATAAACAGCAAGTTTTATGTCTTTATGAGTCAGGAAAGAGCATAAAGGCACAGTTTACTGGAGATACACTCATTAAATAGATTTTAATCTTTGCCTGATGGTGGCGCTAGAGCAAGGTCACAGGGTTGTGAAACTCAGTAGGCTTCTTTGAATAGCATGAATGTGCACAACCAATTTCGTGCCTGCATAACCAGATGTTTCAATATCTGTTATTGATTAGAAAGACACAATCATGTCCTGAAACCTCTTTACACAGCTAGTAAGCAAAATTATTCAACTCTGTAACAGCTCAATAAAATGTGGTTTTAGAGTGTTGTTGAATTAGTGACAGATATATATATATACTGTATATATATATATATATGTATAGAAAGAAGGTGAAAAAACTATGCAAACTTTATATGATAAGATATATACTGTAGGCTTATTCTGTGTGGTAATCTGTTTGAAATGATCAAATAGAAGGATACTATTGAATAACATATGAACAACTGAATTAGTTATTCATCTGGAAGAACACAACTTTCCCTGATCTGTTTTTATAATATGGCTGGCAAAGGTGGGTTGCATTAAAATGAATGGATTCTTCAGTACCATCTTTTTCCTATTAAAGTATACAGTAAGTTAGGGCTTTAACCATTTAATCGCACACCACAATGTGTCTGGGGTTGGGAATAAAAGCCGTCTACAAAGAGACTATATGCAGACCTGTTATATCTATGGGACCTGCAATTAGCAAGTTTGAATACATTATTGCAAAACAACAGACCCACAGGCAATACCTCACACGCTCTCATTATAAAAAAATAATTTCCTGTATTACTAAAATATTGTCTTCCTTCTGACTATAAACTGCTTTATCTACTAACTTTGGCTTAAACTGAGTAGCCCATAATCTCCTTAAGTCTGTGTTTTAATTGGCCATGAGCACACTATCATCTTTCAATCAGCTACTGTATATGGAGCCTATAGAAAATAGGCAAAAAATAATAACAGTAATAATAACATTAACATATTGTGCAGAGAAAAGTAAAAATTAGAATAAATCTTGAGGCATAGTATGCCTATCTAATGCATTTATCATAGTTTTGATGTCTGTTGGTCTTAATAGGGACTACAGCTTCATAAGTAAACATAGCTATGGCACCTAATGAATGCCTGATAAACGTGATTATTGTGTACACTTGTCCAAGAGAATTAATATAAACACTGTGTTATATCCAGCGTGATGCCGTTTTCTCAATAGTGGATAGAAAATGAAAATCGCAGGCAAACACACTAATCAAAAGGCATGCCATTAGCTGAATTGTTATTCTGTTTTCACTCTAACTAAGAACCAGATCCTTTAAAATCTTGCATCGAGTGCGATATGGGACGAGCAACCGATTCTTACGCCTTGTGCATGTGAATTCGCGATGTTCTCTTTGTGCATTTTAACAGGTATAATTTGCAAATAAGCTCACGTGTATTGCAGAGAATCCACGGTGGAGGTGGTTGATGAAGAGGAGAGGACGGCCCGTGCAACACAATCGCATGTTATTTTACAGCTGCTTCGCTCGCTGGCTACAAGCGTTGTCTCATTCATTTAACTTGCCTACTGTACACTGTGCTCAACGTAGTGAATTCAATACTATGGCAAACACACTACACTACTACCAGCTCCAGCATGCTGCACAGAAATGTTTTTGTATCCACGCGCCTCGGAAAACTTCGGTGACGTTTCACAAAAGACAACCAATCGGACCTCGTCTTCTATTAGGACAATGAAAAGCCTCGGACCAATCGGAGCGCCGCCAGACTGGGCGCTGGCCAATGGCGTGCGAGCCCCGCCGAGAGTAATGTTAGAGAGCTGAAGACTGAAGACATTGCGTATCGCCTGTGTTCCCTCATACACAGCCATTGCAGAGCATTGAGATCCAGCGATAGTCCCTAGGTAAGTATACCACACACACGAACATTTAAGTGTCCGTAATGCTTAGAACGACGATAACATTCAAAAATGTCCTACATGTATGTTTGCCATGGTCGAGTGTGAAACCTTTTGTTGCTTGCGAAGAATTTTATTGCGGGGAACCATCCAAAAAAACAACAACAAAAAAAAAAGAAATAGCCGGCGCTAAGCAGGTAACGTTACATTACTCTGCCTGGGAGTGTGGAACAGACGCTCTGTAAAAAAGAAGAAATGAATATTAACCTTGACCAAATTCGACGAAAAATGTCAAATTCGTTAAAGGCGAATAATTTTGTATATCACTGTCGTGTCCTTCTTACAAAATGGAGTCGAATCAAACGGTAGTTATCGCGTAAAAATTCAGGAATGTCTAGCGGACAACACGGTTAGCGACAATGGTAGAAGACTCACCGTTAGCTAGCCATTGGCATTGCAGTGCATTGCGAAGCTGAATGCCTGTCATGTGAAGACTAGGGAGCGTGCGGGTTGTGATACAAACGTTAAAATTTATAGAAACACGAGAAAAAGAAAGACCGTCTCAAAATATACACGTACGTATGTTTGTTTGCCACAATTCAACCGACAAGACGGTGAAAAAATTACCTCACGATCTGCGCTTTACTGTAATGGCTGACTGTATTCGCATAGGAAACAAGGCAGCGAGGCAAATGGGAAGCCAGTGACAGAGGCGCAGTTCACTTCAACTTTTTCTAACCGTGTTTTCTCGAGAAACAAACCCGTAACTATAACATGTAACGACGGCAAAAGAAAGTTCAACCCTTCGTGGTTCCAACGACACCATTGCGAGATTTTTCCGACATTTGTAAAAGGTTTAAATCGGGGGTTGAAGTGAAGTGGTCGCCGCGGTCGCTCTGCCCTCTATTGCATGCAGTGCAATGGCTGTGCGCTGACACAAAGAGAAGGAGCCATATTCTCCATGTTAGTGGATGAAGACGAGCGGCCATTAGGAGCTCATAGAAACCAAGTCAGTAGCACAGCCCGCTCATAGACACAGCACAGACCCAATGTATTACTATACAAGGCGGCTAGTGCAATAGGAATCAATCGGGGAAATATTTTGTCAAGATCGCCGGCTTTCTAAACATATTTGTCGTGTTGCAAAGCGAACTGGGAGGCGGGAGGAGACATTTGAGGGGGACTTTCTTTCATGAAGAAGGCATT